ACAGATCTCAACGCCACATGGCCCCTGTGGGGGCAGGACTGGAAGAAGAGGAGGAGGTAGAGGAGGACATTGGTGCTCAGGAATTATTGAGTGAAATGGGTGGTTTTTTCCACTCAGCGGACAGGAGTGGAGGAGCAGGAGCATCTGGTAGAGGAGGAGGAAGAGGAGACAGAGGACCCTAGACGCACCGTGGCAGTATGCTGTGGAGATGGAGGCAGGGAGTCCCTCGCATTCCTTGGCACAAATGGCCCATAGCATGCTCGGTTGCTTGCGTAGCGACAGCCGAATAATAACCATCAGACAGAGGGATGACTTTTGGCTGTCCACCTTGTTGGACCCTCGCTACCGTTCAAAAATGGTGGCCTTTTTCACACCCTGCTGAGAGGGAGGCCAAAATAACGTACTATAAAAAACACCTATGTAGTCAGCTGGTCTCTGCCTGTCTGCGCCAACGTCCATCCTCAGACACTGTGGGCCCTGTGCGCTCGTGTTCCGCTGCCATGGCAGCAGGGGAGGGGTGGGGTGGTAGGAGCAGTGGCAGCTCCACCAGCAGCGGCTGCCTCAGTCTGCAGTCGATGATGAGTAGCTTTCTTCACCAGCGCAGTGAGGAAACTACTAACCAGCCGCAGCAGCAGCAGCAGCATCAGGTGGACCTGGAGCAGGACCTCAAACAACAGGCTTAGGCCTACTTGGACAGCACCCTGCCAACCGAGGTAGACAATCCCCTTGACTACTGGGCAACGAAACTTGACCTTTGGCCCCAACTAGCTGAATTTGCCCTTGAAAGGCTGTCATGCCCGGCCAGTAGCGTGGCATCGGAGCGCGTGTTTAGTGCGGCAGGAGGTATTGCAACTCCGCGGAGGACACGACTGTCCACCCAAAGTGTGGAGAGACTCACGTTTGTGAAAATGAATCAGGCGTGGATTAGTCTGGATTTCAAACCACCAGTTCCTGACACAACTGACTAAATCCGCCATGAATCATGCCCCAAACATGTGCCACTTTCAGGTCTCCTCACACTGCTGGTGTGTTCCATTTTTTGTCATAGGGTGCTGGCAGATTACGGGCCTCCCATAGCTGCTGCCAGGCCCCTAATCTGCCATGGGCCCCTATACCGCCTCCTCATGCTGCTGCCAAGTCCAGAGTCTCTCATGGGTCCCTGTACGGCCTCCCATTGCTGCTGCCTCCATCGCCACACTCTGCCATGTGCCACTTTCAGGTCTCCTCACACTGCTGGTGTGTTCCATTTTTTTGTCATAGGGTGCTGGCAGATTACGGGCCTCCCATAGCTGCTGCCAGGCCCCTAATCTGCCATGGGCCCCTATACCCGCCTCCTCATGCTGCTGCCAGGTCCAGAGTCTCTCATGGGTCCCTGTACGGCCTCCCATTGCTGCTGTCTCCATCGCCACACTCTGCCATGTGCCACTTTCAGGTCTCCTCACACTGCTGGTGGGTTCCATTTTTTGTCATAGGGTGCTGGCAGATTACGGGCCTCCCATAGCTGCTGCCAGGCCCGTAATCTGCCATGGGCCCCCGTACCGACTCCTCATGCTGCTGCCAGGCCCGTAATCTGTCATGGGCCACTGTTGTCGCTTGTTGGCATATTCCGCTCGTTCAGATGCTCCTTCTCCTGCTACTCCTCTTCACGGATTCCGTCAGCAGTCTTTCTTGGAATCCGTTTCCAAGAGACAACAGTTTGCGAGCACGCACCCGACGGTGCAGAAGCTGAACGTCCTCCTGTCCAAGTTGCTGCTGCCAGGCTCGTAATCTGTCATGCGCCCCTGTACCGCCTCCTCATGCTGCTGCCAGGTCCAGAGTGTGTCATGGGCCCCCGTACCGACTCCTCATGCTGCTGCCAGGCCCGTAATCTGTCATGGGCCCCTGTACCGCCTCCCCATGCTGCTGCCAGGTCCAGAGTGTGTCATGGGTCCCTGTACGGCCTCCCATTGCTGCTGCCAGGCCCGTAATCTGCCATGGGCCCCTGTACCGACTCCTCATGCTGCTGCCAGGCCCGTAATCTGTCATGGGCCCCTGTACCGCCTCCTCATGCTGCTGCCAGGTCCAGAGTGTGTCATGGGTCCCTGTACGCCTCCCATTGCTGCTGTCTCTATCGCCACACTCTGCCATGTGCCACTTTCAGGTCTCCTCACACTGCTGGTGGTTTCCATTTTTGTCATAGGGTGCTGTATGGCCTCCCATTGCTGCTGCCTCCACCGCCACACTGTGGCTCCACACTCTGGTTTTGGCCCCGTGACTGCCCAAATGAGTGAAGTGTGCGGTGATTCTAAGATCGACGGCACTCATCTGCATGTCATACTGACTGACAGTATTATTTCTCTTCCCCAGCAGACTCCAAGGGCATTTAAATTAAAGGTACAGTGTTCTGCACTAATATTAAGTCTCTCTGAAGCCTAGAAACACCCTTTTTTAAGTTAAATTCACAGCGAATTTATTCGACTCGAATCGAATATTGTCCACGAATTCGCCGAATCAGTCGAATCGAATTTTTCATTTCTTCGCTCATCTCTAGCAGTAAAGCATGCTTGGTATACTCACTGGTCAGGGGTCATGCAGCCTCATAAGAGGAGAATGAAAACTCCTCCTACAATCTTTAACCAGTGCTTGGCTGGATACTGATAGAAGTCACAGGACTGCTATATACTGCTGATGAGAAAAGGTATTTAGCAATTTATACTAAAATAATTGCATTTCCATGTTGTGTGTACTGCATGCAGCATCATCCCGGTATAAACCACTCAAAGTCCAGCAACGGACCCTAGTGCTGGCAGCGAACGAGGCTGATCCTGCTAACACTGTGTTTTTGGGGACACTATACTAAGGAGGAACTAGTATAGTTCTGTTCATGATCATTATATTGATCCTTACAAACACTATACTAGTAATGGCGATGATCAGCGACCTATAGCATGAGGTAGCTGACCCTGGCTAAGTGGGGCACTTACAGACCCTGACTCTATCTGATGTCACTAGTGGCAGTAATACAGTGATCAGTGAAAAATTCTATACACCGACACTGTACTAATGGCATTGGCAGGGTGACAAGGCAGTCAAAGGGTTAAATGTGCTTGCTGTCATGAACCTAACTTATTTTATGAACTGTCATGAAATGAGTTAGGTTTTTGACAGCTCAAGATAGTGATCTGTGATTGAGGAAAGAACAAACAGAGGGCACACAGGCCTAGTGCATTACCATAAAAAATGTTTAATAAGAAATAAAGTAGGTGTTGTACTCACAAACGACAATATAGTCAAAGCATATCATAAAGAACAGCTGGGTCAACACCGCGCTGAGTAACAGTCTGCAATAGGGAGTGTAGTCATCCAATAGGCTGACGTGTTTCGAGGACTTGCCTCTTCCTCAGAGCCCTCTACAGGGCAGCACAAGTAGGGGCCAGTGTCAATCACTGGAGCCTGGCCAGTGTTTCCCTGCAGGCACCTGGCGATCTCCAAGAAGGGGGAGAGACCTGTGTATAAACAACACAGATCTCTTCCCTGTCAGCTCCTGCATACTGCTTTGTATGGCTCTGCATAGCAGACTCATACAAAGCAGTTTGCTTACAGTGGAAAAACACACACACACAGCACACATAGTGAAACAGCACACAGTTAACCTTTTGATCACCCCATATGTTAACCCCTTCCTGCCCAGTGTCATTAGTACAGTGTCAGTGCTTTTTATTAGCACTGATCACTGTATTGGTGTCACTGGGGATGTCAGAAATACTGCTACAGGGCAACCTCTGGAGGAACCCACAAAATCCTGGTTAAAAAAACCCTGGCATAAAGTGTAAGCCAAGAGTCCTGTCTATGCAAAGCCTCCTACGTTTGCGGACATACACTTTATGAATGTGTTATACCTGTGTGTTATGACAGAAATAGTCTCAGCAAGAAGAAAAGAAAAACAAACAGGAGAAAATAATGTGCCAAGCTAGCTGTCAGCCATTGGTACCTAGTGAGGCTATGGAGCTGTCCACAGTGCTGAAACTGAGATGTTGGCTATGAGGCAGTAGCTGCTTGATATGGCAATTTTACGTATTTACATTGGTCCAGTTTGAATCCCTCAGGTATAGCACATACATACTTTAAGTAGACCTCCTTTCAAAAAAAGCAGAAAATACTTGTAAAGTGAAGTGACACTAAATTCTGGTTTAAACCAAAAATTTTATTCAAGTATTTATTCTTAAAGCAAAAACTAAACTCATCAACTTAAAGTGATACTAAACCCACAACAGTAAAATCAGTCTGTATATGCAGCAAAGAATGCTTGTTATACTCACTGTGAAACCTAAAGGGTTAATTCTCTGCATTGTGTAATAATGCTGTTTTATCCTGTCTTCTCTGATTCTCCCCTTCTTCCAGTGTCCCCCTCTTATCCCTAATAAGACATATCGTGTGGAGTCACTCTGCACATGCTCAATTAGGTGCGTATTGCTAGAGAGGATTTTTTTTTTTTCTTGGGAGAGTGCATGTGATCAGCACAGAGCCAATCAGCACTGTCCAGACAGTGGTCAGGGGTCCTGCATCCTGCTACAGGAGAATGAAAACTCCTCCGACAAGATTTAACCAGTGCTCTGCTGGACGCTGATAGAAGTCACAAGACTGCTCTAACTGCTGATGAAAAAAGGTATTTCACCATTTATATTTACTAAAATAATTGTATTTCCATGTTGTGCATACTGTGGGAGACCATATATAGTGAATGCAGGGCCAGGGAGACCAGATATAGTGAATGCAGGATCCAGGGGGAGACCAGATATAGTGAATGCAGGGTCCGGGGAGATCAGATATAGTGAATGCAGGGTCCAGAGAGACCAGATATAGTGAATGCAGGGTCCGGGGAGACCAGATATAGTGAATGCAGGGTCCGGGGAGAATGGATATAGTGAATGCAGGGTCCGGGGAGACCAGATATAGTGAATGCAGGGTCCTGGGAGACCAGATATAGTGAATGCAGGGTCCGGTGAGAGAGACCAGATATAGTGAATGCAGGGTCCGGGGAGACCCGATATAGTGAATGCAGGGTCTGGGGAACCAGATATAGTGAATGCAGGGTCCGGGGAGACCATATATAGTGAATGCAGGGTCCAGGGAGACCAGATATAGTGAATGCAGGGTCTGGGGAGACCATATATATAGTGAATGCAGGGTCCGGGGAAACCAGATATAGTGAATGCAGGGTCCGGGGAGACCAGATATAGTGAATTCAGGGTCTGGGGAGACCGGATATAGTGAATGCAGGGTCCGGGGAGACCAGATATAGTGAATGCAGGGTCTGGGGAGACCAGATATAGTGAATGTAGGGTCCGGGGAGACCAGATATAGTGAATGCAGGGTCCGGGGGAGACCAGATATAGTGAATGCAGGGTCCGGGGAGACCAGATATAGTGAATGCAGGGTTCTGGGTTTAGTAACACTTTACAGCCTGGTGCCCACAGTTGAGATGCGCTAGGTAGAGAAGGGACGGCTCGAATGAGCACATTGCTGGACCCTGAGACAGGTTAGTGTGTGTTTATTAAAAATCAGCAGTTTAATAAACACAAAAACGACTGGAACTCGGTTTTAAGGGGTTCAAAACAGAGTTACATTCCCAGCAAACTTTTTGGGAATCTTGTTATTCTATGAAGGAAATATCCTTGCAATATCCATCAGAGCTAATGTTTTTAAAGACAATGTACCTTTCACAAGTATGTCCATGTAATAAAGCATATGGTTTTTAAAAAAAGGTTTTTTTTGAGTATATGTGTAATGATATGGTTGTTGCATTAAAGTCCCATAGGGGGATTCTCTGTTTACATTTATGTTGGGGATTAGCAGCTAGATACTCAACTTTCTGCTGGGAATGATAAATGGTTTGCAAATTTTTTTACAAATAAATACCTGAAAAGTGTGGCGTGCATTTGCATTCAGCCCCCTTTACTCATGCCCATAACTAAATTCTAATGGAACCAATGCCTTTAGAAGTCACCTAATTAGTAAATAGAGTCCACCTGCTTGTCATTTTCACACCTTCACATCTAATGCAGGCCATAGATGGGGAGAAAACCCATAGATACATTGTTGCAGCCGCTATAAATGTCAAAGCACTGTCAAAGAAATAGCGGAGCTCTCTGCAGGGACACTTTTTGCCGGACTGGAATTCTTCTTCATCCTCTTCTTCTTCTTCTTCTTCCTCTTCTTCTTCCTCTTCATCTTCTTCATCTTCTTCTTCATCCTCTTCTTTTTCTTCCTCTTCTTCTTCATCCTCTTCTTCATCCTCTTCTTCTTCATCCTCTTCTTCATCCTCTTCTTCTTCCTCTTCTTCTTCATCCTCTTCTTCATCCTCTTCTAAATCCTCTTCTTCATCCTCTTCTTCTTCATCCTCTTCTTCTTCTTTCTTCTTTCTTCTTCATCCTCTTCTTCTTCATCCTCTTCTTCTTTCTTCTTCATCCTCTTCTTCTTATTATTCTTCTTCATCCTCTTCTTCTTCTTCCTCTTCTTCATCCTCTGCTTCATCCTCTGCTTCATCCTCTTCTTCATCTTCTTCATCCTCTTCTTCATCCTCTTCTTCATCCTCTTCTTCCTCCTCTTCTTCTTCCTCTTCTTCATCCTCTTCATCATCCTCTTCTTCTTCATCATCATCCTCTTCTTCTTCTTCATCCTCTTCTCCTTCCTCTTCTTCTTCATCCTATTCTTCATCTTCTTCATCTTCTTCTTCATCCTCTTCTTCCTCTTCTTCATTCTCTTCTTCATCTTCTTCATCCTCTTCTTCATCCTCTTCTTCTTCTTCGTCCTCTTCTTCATCCTCTTCTTCTTCTTCTTCGTCCTCTTCTTCATCCTCTTCTTCATCTTCTTCATCCTCTTCTTCATCTTCTTCATTCTCTTCTTCATCCTCTTCTTCTTCATCATCTTCATCCTCTTCTTCTTCATCATCCTCTTCTTCTTCTTCCTCTTCTTCTTCTTCCTATTCTTCTTCATCCTCTTCCTCTTCTTCCTCTTCTTCTTCTTCATCCTCTTCTTCATCCTCTTCCTCTTCTTCTTCTTCTTCATCCTCTCCTTCCTCTTCTTCTTCATCCTCTTCTTCATCCTCTTCTTCCTCTTCTTCATCCTCTTCTTCTTTTTTTTCTTCTTCATCCTCTTCTTCTTCTTTTTCTTCTTCTTTTTGTCTTCCTCTTGCAGGTCACTGCTCATGCGCAGATTTTTTATATCGGTAAAAAGATCGGCTGATTTGCCCATAATTGCCACGAAAATCGGCCGATCGGCAAAATCGGCCGATCTTTTTCCAACTTTACCGATAGAAAAAATCTGCCAAAATACTGAAAAACGGCCCGATTAATTAACCCACTAACGATCCAAAAATCAGCCGATTTTATTTTCGGACGATTTTCGACCCATCTATGGCCTGCATATAGGTAAAACAAATCTTAACGCCTAAGCACAATTTTGCAATTTTTACCTGTGTTAGTAAAACCATCCATATCATCACAACTACTTTGTACATCCAGGTGGATTATACCTTGTTTTTTTCAGGACAAATTGGGCTTTTATGTGGTAATAAATGATAATGGATGTTTCCTTCTTTTTTAATTATCAAAGGAAAACTGGCCCAAAATAGTAACAAAAAAATTTTTTTTAAATTTAGCTGTGTGTTTCTTGTTCCTACCATAACCTTCCACCAAAGAACAACCCAAAATAAATTTTCCAGCTCTAGACAATCGCAGCAATATCATATATGTGTATGTTATTTGTTGTCTGTACCCGCAGTACAGCCCAGAAACAATAGTGTGCATTTTGTTTTTTGTTTAACTAAAACACACTGACACTGACACCAATTTAGAAAAAAAAAAATCCTGACCTTGACCTGTGACCCTGATCTTGACCCAGACACTAACGCTGGCACTGAACTAGATCAATCCTTGATCTAGGTATTTTTTCTTTTCTTTTTAAAATATTTATTTATTCTATGCAAGGAGTTAGAGAGATACAATGTATAATATAATGATACAATGTAGAATATAATGTATATAATGATGGTATCTCTCTTCTCTATTCAGAGAGAGAGAAAAAACAAGGGAGCGTGCTATATAGGGACTGATCAATCAGAGCTAGCCAATCCGAGGCTATCACAGTGATATGTGACCTGGAATTGGGAGTCCTGGGTCCTGATCGTTAGAACGGGACCCGGAGCTCTCAGTGAGCCATCTTTGTGCAACGCAGTCCCAGCACAAAGACAGGTACTCAAATAGGCGGCCCCATGGAAAAAAGCCCAGTTCTGTGAGGCCGCATATTTGTGTGACATCAGCATCAAGGGGCTAATCTCAGTATAAAAAACAGCTGTTCTTCAACGAACAAATGCATCCGAAGTGTAACAAAAATTTGCGGCATGCACATGTCTATGGTCCCCCTGACTTCTACTGGAATAAAGTCATGTCTGGGCTTTTTAGCAGGGGGGGTGGCTCTTTATTTAACATTTTTATCTCATGTCTTTGGCTAGCTTTAGTTCTAAGGATACAGACTCTGTAATACCACCTTCCATCTGGAACAAATAAGCCTACTTATATCTTCATAAAAAAGAGAGAAGCAGCGCCATCTAAGTGCAGCAATATAAGCAAATCATTATTTCCACAAAATTGGCAATTCACAAATGGCATAGGTAACACTATTATTATCATCTAGAATTTTTGTATACACATTTTCAATAATATGGAATCACCTGTGTATGTATAAACATTTCTGTTTTTACATATCTCTTTATTTATTCATACAGGATCCTTACGTTCTCTATGTTATAGTGCATAGTGAGATACATGCTTAATTTGCATAATTTTCCCTTCATATCCTCCTTATAGGTTTATTGTATTTTACTTATTGGATTTTAATTTAAGAGCACTTAGTCTAATTTGTTTAAGAGAGGGAGGCTTGATATGTTTTTTGTACTAATCTATGATGACACTTGGGCCTCTCCATGAGTTGGCTGGGGTCCTATAGTCCGCCACTATAATTTGCCAATATATGCCCCCTCTATGGCCTGATGAAGGACCGTGCATGCTCCGAACACCTACCAGCCCTACTACAGCTGTACTTGGAGCTGATATAACTGTCACCTGTCCTGTGGGTCCACATCGACCAAGAAATGCTGGGAACTACCAGCACAGCCAAAGACAGTGCATTGGAGACCTGCCTGCAGTGGGACTGGCCAGGAGTTGCACAGCAGTTGACACCAGTTTGACAAGTGCTCATTTGACTACCACTTGTGAGTTTCCAATTTTGTGGAAATAAATGATTTGCTTATATTGCTGCACTTAGATTGTGCTGCTTCTCTTTTTTTTTATGGTTTACACAGAGTCTCTTCTAGCTCTTTTTGAATCGGCTGCCACTGAGTCAAGCATTGTTGGATTATCCCTTAACCACTTTCAGGACTTTACTTGTGTGGTTAATATACTAGCTAGTGGTGCACCAAAATGAAAATTCTGGTGCCGAAACCGAAAATTCAAAATGCATTTGGCCGAAAACCAAAATGCGCAGTTTTTAACAATGAATATATATTTTTTGGAACAAAATACACTTTGATTGAAAAAAACAATATATACCCCAATTTTTTTTTCCAATATGAAAGAGCATGTTAAGGCGAGTAAATAGATACCCAACATGTCACGCTTTAAAATTGTGCACGCTCGTGGAATGGCGTGAAACTGCGGTATTTAAAAATCTCCATGGGTGATGCTTTAAAAATTTCTACAGGTTAGCAGTGTAAAGTTACAAAGGAGGTCTAGTGCTAGAATTATTGCTCTTGCTCTGACGTTCATGGTGATGATACCTCACATGTGTGGTTTGAACACCATTTACATACAGTATGGGGGCATGGCCTACATATGCGTTCACCACTATGTGCGAACACGGGGGGGATGGGGGAACTTGTAACTTTTTAAAAAAAAATGTATTCAATGTTTTGGGGTTTTTTTGAACTGTTCCTTTAAAAAAAATGTAATCACTTTTATTCTTATCACAAGAAATGCATGCATCCCCTGTGATAGAAATAATGAGTGACAGGTTCTCTTTATGGAGAGATATGTAGTCAATAAGACCCCACGTCTCTCCTCTACAATGTAAAGCATTGGATCAAGAAAAAGTATTGATATAGTGCTTTATAAAAAAAAAAAAATGGCCGGAACGGGAAGTGACATCGCTCCGGTCCTCCAAGGGCGTAGAGATGTGTGGTGGCCATCTTTCCTTCACTCATCCCTATGCCCAGCGCCAGGATTGATGGTTTCTCGGGAAAGGCTGAACTACCAAGCGGCGGCTTGTGGCAGCTTGTGGCGGCCGGCGGGCAGGCAGTGACAACCTGCGGGCAACCACGAGGGGTGGGAGGCGGCGTTAGGTGGGGCTTTTTCAGCACCTGTATCGGTGCTTTTTTTCATTTCTGCCAAAGGCCTGAAGGGGTGTTTTCGGCCAAAATATTTCAGCCACCAAAATTTCGGTGCATCCCTAATACTAGCCATCACATTATACATCTGGTCTTTTTCTTCTTAGTGCGCCAAACA